TGTGAGTCATTGCAAGGGACCTGCACAGGGCCCATCCCATGGAAAGTGTTTGGAGCACGTGCAGTGGGGGAGACGGGCCCACCAGGAAAACAATGGGGCACAGCAAGGACAGCTGATCCGCCCCTCAATCAGCACAGGACCACTCAGAAGAGACTGGTCAGGAATATAGAATTGCATGGGGTGCAGTTTGATCAAAAGACTCAGGCCCAGATCACAGTTTCTACACAACCCAGGTGCACCAGGTCTCTGGAGAGCCACAAGTTACCTATAAGGTCAACCATTAAAACCTGAGCTGCACAAAAAGTCTTCCCCAGGGAATCAGCAGCAAAGCAGCAATTTAGCTCAACCACACAGCTCAAGTACTGGTTCCCACAGGAAGTTCCTCCATTTTAGAAGTAAGCAAAGGACAAAAAATTAGTTCCGGCCCAGGCACACCACCAGCACCTCAGGGCCTACCCAGGGACCCAAGGCATGGAGTCAGGGACCAGACCGCCCTACCCACAACCAGGCACACTGCCAGCACCTCAGGGCCTGCCTGGGGACCTGAGGTCTGGAGCTGGGGATTGGACGCCCCCCCTCCCACAACCAGGAACACCACCAGTGCCAAGGAGCAGGCCAAAAATATCACCTCCATGTGGGTGGCCCACCACAGCCACCACAGTAACCACGGCTGCTGCAAAAACAGCTAGACGCCACAACCACCACAGAGATGGTTCACCAGCCACTGGAGTGCATTGACACGAGGAGAATCACCAGCAGAGACCAAAGAAAAGAAGACGTCTCTCTCCACAAAGCCCATTCCAGAGTGACAGAAGAAGCATCTGCTCTATGATAATATTGGGAGACCTGAACACACCTCTCAGCATTGGACAGATCATCTAGGCAACAAATCAATAGAGTAACCATTACTCTTTCAGAAGGAGAGAAGAAATCTAGGGTTATCAGTGGTGGGAGCGGGGAGGAAGAAGGGGATAGTGAGAGATTGGACAAGGGGCATAAAGAATAAGTACAATTTGTAACAGCATATATACTAGTAATATTGATTTGATCAACATATGTCAACATTGAACCCCCAAAATATGTATAATCAATTATGATTCAATAAAAAAAAATTTTTTTAAAGGAAATCATATTTCTTCTAGATAGTTTCATTATCTTACACAACTAATTAGTCTCCTGGAGGCCACCCTGTTCCCACAAGACCAAGGCAGATGTTGCAGTTTCCCCCACGATGCAGCCTCCAGTTTAGCATTTAACAGAAAGGAAGTCCTCTCTGTGGGGCAACTTTGAAGGGTTGCACATTGAATGTTATCCCACATTTTAAGCAATAGTGAGAATAATACAAGCTAGCTTTGCCTCCCGTCCTCTTAAAAATACTCAGAAATAATACCCTATTACATTTTGTTTACATTCCTCATTTTACAGGAGAGAAAAGTGAGGCATGGGCCATGAAGTGATTTTTTCCAAAATGTATATATCACAGTGTAGTACTGAGGAAGCAAATGGTGGTGAGGTTCTATTTTTATCTTTCTAATTCCAATTGGACAGCCAGCTCTGGATAGCCTTGAGCCTGCCTCCTATTCAAAATATCACTATGGTGGAATTGTCACAAACAGGGCATTGTTTACCTTCCCTGGATCCTCAGGAGGAAAGGGGCGGGTAGCACACAGCACTACAGAGACCCCTGCTGGCGCTGAGCCTGGTTGCCTGTGGGAGGGCCCCAGTACTCCTGGGCATGCATTTGCCAGCTCCGTTTTATCAACAGTCAATAGTCACTGTCCCTCAGAGAAAAAATGAGCTCCTTGCAGCACCACTGTTCCCAAATACACCTTCAAGAGAATCAAAACTCCACCTCTGAATTCCCACAAGCCCATCACACTAGACCACCACTCAGATAAAAGTCACAGAAAGATAAAAGACATGGACTTTATGCCAAAGAAAAAAGACAGTAGCTGGTTTAAGAAGGTCAGACTCTAGGTGCTGCTTCCCCAATATTTTCTGTCCAAAAGCCCATGACTCTTAGGAGAGAAAGGTGGTGACTTTTCCCAGAGGAGTCTGACCTTGCAATAGGAACCCTTTGCAGCCAGTTAGGGCATGGCACTGGGTGTGCTTTTAGACTGGTCTCTTGGGAGCTGTTGGTATTGTGTATTGAAGCCATGCCAGTTGTGTATTGAAGGCATGTATATGCTTTATTATAACTTCAGAAATCACCCCTGAAACAATCTAGTGGAGAATGTTTCCAAAAGAGACCATTAATTACAGAATGTTTTTTGATGTGGATGTGTATAGAACTCTTTGTCTGGGGGTGATTTTTCTAGATTGAAATCTCCCTCAAAAATTAAGGAAAGACATTTGCCTCAAATATCTCTAAAAGCCTGCTTTTGAATGATGTGTATTCTTGTAGCATTTGGAGAGCATGGCTTCATGAGCCTTTCAAGATGAACCCCAGAGTAGCTAGTCCTCCGAGTTCCCTCTCTTCCTAGGCCATTCTCTATAAGACATAGCCTTGCTTGGGTTTTTATGGAACTTGTTATTTATCCATCATCCTTTTAAAAGTTTCAAATGGAAGGCAGAATATTTGCATTAGACGTTAAATGAAAACATGAAAAATAAAGTTTCATAAACCAGATAATTGGAATTGATATTTTTAAAGCCTCCACGAAAATAATGTCCTTGCTTCATGAACTGGTGTTTTCTTTTTATATGCTTCATGTAGATGAATGGACAGAGGTGGACAGAAAACGAGGTATGCTATCTCTGGGCTGCATGTATCAGTCTGCATCCACAGGTTCACTCAATCCTTTATCAGTGGGGCTTAAAGTGGGAACACCCTAAATATTTGAAAGTAAGAAAATAGAGATGAGCTTCTCTTTAGCTGAGATATTGGTTATACATTTGAATCTTTTACTTAAAATGAATAAAGCAAGTAAGATGAAAACTAAGCAAATTTCGGCCGGCCCGGTGGCGCACTGTGCTGGTGCGCCGCTTGGGAAGCGCGGCGGCGCTCCCGCCGAGGGTTCGGATCCCACGTACAGACCGGTTCCCGCTCACTGGCTGGGCGAGGCGCGGGGGCAGCGCCGAGGGTTGCGATCCCGTTGCCGGTCCCGGTCCGGTGCGGGGGTGACATTGAGGGTTGCGATCCGTTGCCGGACACAGAAAAAGACAAAAAAAAAAAAAAACTAAGCAAATTTTGGCAAAAGGGCCACACTGCACCTGAGGGATCTGCCTCTTTTTTTTTCAATTCCAAGCTTTACAGGGACAGTTGGGACAGTATCTATACTTTGAGGTAGGTTGTAATTGGTACACTTTAGAACAACTTTGTTAAGTATCATGTAATCAAAGAATTGTGCTTCTACACGAGCAACCCTCCCTGAGCCATTCTCCTTAGCACACAGAGATACCTGTTGAGCAATCAAGAAAAATGGAAGCATGTGACTGCATGGCTGCTAGGACTGTGGGCAGAAGGCATGACATCATGCATGCGGTATGGCTATATGCTACATCTTCAGTTTCCACTTCACCTACAACTAGCAGCAAACCTGAAAAAGTTGCCGACTCCTCAGAATAAAACCTTAGCCTTTTTCAGCCTTTAAATGTCACAGGTACCTTCCATCATTTGGCATTTGGGTACAGTTTATGCCTGTCACCAGTGAGCTTCCTCGATATTTTAAATGCTGTCAGTACACCAACGATGCTGGAGAGATAACATATATAATATTTAAGAGTACAAGCATTAGAATCAAACAGACCTCATTCTGATTTCAACTTTACCACCAGCTATGTGACCTTGCACTTTAGACTCTCTAAGATTCAGTTTTCTTCCTTAATAGAATGGGGATAATAATTCAGAGCTGTCTTGGAGTTTAAATGAGATAATGCATATAAAGTTCTAAGCCCAGTGCCTGGAACATAGTAAGGATTTAAAACTTGGTAACTATCCAGTGGGGTTTCCTAGCTTCTCTCTTTTAGTCCTGGCCCCAAATTGCATGTTTCCATAAACATGTGAATTTACAGCAGAGGTAATAGGTGAAAACTTGATTGCTTTCATCAAGCTAATTATTTCATCAGACCAGGCTCAAAGAAAAGCCCAGCTGAAGTGCTTGATACACTCTTATATTTCACAACCATCTTTTGACACTTCTCTTGAGCAATTTATGGTCCACCCCTTAATGCCATGGCAGAATTTCAGACATGAAGTGTGGATTTTGAGGGCTTTTCGTATATGTAACTGAATCGTTTGAATTTATTTTAACATAAGTGTTCAAAAAATAATGAGCAGAAACTGACTTTATAATCTGAACCCAAAACCAGAAGGCTATGTTGAGAACTCAGTTACCAACCCTTCTGATGCACCTGTGAAAAATCCCTTCCCTCCCGCTTTAGCCTCTTCCTGATAAAATCTGGCTCTAGTACGTTCCTGCTTCATGAAAAGTATGTGAAGCTCATTGGAGTGCCAAAAACTAACACCGAGACAGACTAACGGGTCTGATTAAATCTATTGCTCAGGTTTAACTTAAATATGATGTGGTGGCTTCTCTAGAGCAGGGATAACATCTGCCTCTTTGTGCACATGGTGTTTATCTCCATGTCTGGTACACAGTAGGCCTGCCTCAACCAAGTGCTGGCTGAAGCACATTGTGGGAAGAAAACGTGTTAATGTGTGCCTCCAGAGCTCCGGTCAAGATGGCGGAATAGATGGTCCCCAGTGTCACTCTCTTCCACAAATCAATGAATTTACAACTATGAAAGTGTAACATCAGCCAAGTTGGGGCCACTAGAGCTCAGGTGAAGAGGAGGAGAGACCTATGGAACTCATGAAGGGAGGAGTAACCACGATGAGAGAAAGAAAAAACTGCTCTCAGCATTTTGGCCTGTGACAGCTTTTATGCTGGAGCACATGGAGCAGGAGCCAGCAGAAGCCGCAGCTGTACCCTTTAGATGGAGTTGCTTGGAGGCAGAAGGGGAGAAGAGGACTTTGATGGTCCCCAGGACAGCAAAACCACTAATAGGATTCCTGTGGACCCATGCAGGAGCGAGAAGCCAGAACAGCTGAAAAAGGGGAGCCATTCAGAGGCCGGTGAGTCATAGCAAGGGGCCGGCACAGGGCCCCTTCCCATGGGAAGTGTTTGGAGCACGTGCGGTGGGGGAGATGGGCCTACCAGGAGAACACTGGGACACAGCAAGGACAGCCGATCTGCCCCCCAATCAACGCAGGACCACTCAGAGGAGACTGGTCAGGAATGCAGAATTGCATGGGGTGCAGTTTAATGAAAAAACTCAGGCCCAGATCAGAGTTTGTACACAACCCAGGTGAACCGAGTATCAGAGCCGGAAGTACCTATAAGGTCAATCATTAAATCCTGAGCTATAGGGGCCGGCCCGTGGCTCACTCGGTAGAGTGCAGTGCTGATAACGCCAAGGCCACGGGTTCGGATCCCATATAGGGATGGCCGGTTTGCTCACTGGCTGAGCATGATGTTGACAACACCAAGTCAAGGGTTGAGATCCCCTTACCAGTCATCTTTTGAAAAAAAAAAATCCTGAGCTACACAAAAAGTGTTCCCTCGGGAACAGCAGCAAAGCAGCAATTTAGGTCAACCACACAGCTCAAGTACTGGTTCCCACAGGAAGTTCCCCCGTGTTAGAAGTAAGCAAAGGACAAAAAATTAGTTCTGTCCCAGGCACACCACTGTGCCTTGGGGCACACCAGGGGACAGGAGGTATGGAGCCAGGGGCAAGACCCCTGCCCACAACCACTCACACCACCAGCACCTTGGAGCCCCACCCAGGAACCCGAGGATTGGAGCCAAGGACTGGACCCCACTCCCAAAACCAGGCACTCCGCACCAGTGCCTCAAGGCCCGTCCAGGGACCTGGGGCATGGAGAAGGGGACTGGACCACCCTCCCACAACCAGGCACACCATGCCAGCGCTCGGGACCCACTCGGGGACCCGGAGTGTGGAGCCAGGGATCAGACAGTCTCCACTACCAGGCACACTGCTAGCACCAAGGAGCATGCCAAAAACATCTCCTCCATGTGGGTGGCCCACCACAGCCACCTCAATAACCATGGCTGCCACGAAGGCAGCTAGATGCCACAACCACCACACAGATGGTCTGCCAGCCACTGGAGTGCGTTAACACAAGGAGAGTCACCAGCAGAGATAAAGAAAGCAGGAGGATGTCTTTCTCTACAGAGCCCATTTCAGAGTGATGGAACAGGCATCTGCTCTATGATAGTATTGGGGGACCTGACCACACCTCTCAGCATTGGACAGATCATTTGGGCAGCAAATCAACAGAGTAACCATTATTCTTTCAGATGGTGAGAAGAAATCTTGGGTGATTAGAGGGAGGAGGGAGGAGAAAGGGGGATGGGGAGGGATCGGACAGGGATCATAAATAATAATTACGATTTGTAATGATATATATGCTAGTAATATTGATTTGACCATCATATCTCAATGTTGAACCCCAAAAATTTGTATAATCAATTTTAATTCAATAAAAAAATTTTTTAAAAAATATGTGCCTCCATATTCTTTCCAAAGAATGAAGTGAGACATGGGAGCCCTGGGTGCCAGGGCCCAACCATAAAACTGCCATTTCCTTTGGCATTTGTATTCACTGCTCTGCCCACAGGGACAGATCCTGCTGTCTTTTCTCCCAACAGGAGAACCTTCTGCATGTTCTCATGCAAGGAGCCGTGGTGATGCATAGCTTCTTCACTTCCCAGGGGAAAAGCTTCATTTTGCTTTTTACCTTGCCAGAGTGGCTAGCAATAACATTGGGGTTTTCTTTTTCTTTCCTTTTTTTTTTTAGAACTAATTTATTTAGGTCTAAGCTATTTTCCTAGATCCCGATAAGGCCTCAAAACCCTAGAGAAATGACCCAGTTCCCAGGCAAATAGTAGCTCTTTGTAAGCAATAACCTAATCAGAGTTGATGTGATGCTTTAACTTGAAATTTTCCTCTCTTGAACACCTCCCTGGCCTACATAAATCTGTGGGAAAGACTTCATATTCTCCCTTTTGATGACATATGTGTGACTTTTCAGTTGTACCTGTTTACTTGCAAATTCTGCATTTTATATAGGCTGTGGTAAGAAAAAAAGATAGAAAACCCAGTTCATTGCAGGTCTGTGCTTGTTTCAGTCGAAGGAAAAAGACCAGGCAAGAAGCAAACCAGGAAGAATTGAAACTGTCCACCTTGGGGAAATGTTAGTGCACATTAAGGGCAAGCTGCAATGGGTTGAAATTATCAGATGTAAGGATACCCTGTGTCAGTAATGGATTTGGTTCTTCTCCACTGAATAATAGGATGGAGTCTAGAGTAAACGCCAAAGGTCAAGTGTGAGTTCAACAGTGTTGGGGGGAAAAACTGTGTCCCCTCTCCCCTCTCTCTGAAGCCCTTCCAGATTTTAAGTATAACCAGCCCTCAGCTCCTCCTTCGCCCGTAAAATGTGTTGAGATGCTTTAAAATGCTGGCCTGAGCCCTCAGGATACTTCTGTCAATTACTTACAGGTAGAGAGTGCCTGAAATAACCTCATTGCCCTACCTTGCCTTGATTCTCTAAAGATACATTGCCACAGCCAATGCCCTGGCACGTCTCTCATCTTAGGCAAAAGGAGGAGGAGTTTATATCTTTCAGTAATAATCATTTGTATTTAATAATTGATTTTGTACAATTATTTTAAGTAACCCACTTTTCTTTCAAATTTTAATTACTATGAGTGTGTACTCTCAGCATCCACCTACTCTTACCTTTAGGCCAGAATAACTGGCTTAATTAAGAATAATCTATGTTCAACCATACCTGTTCCTATTTCTTATGTAGAACCCTCCTAGCCCTTAATTAGTAATATTTTATTGAGTGCAAAATAGTGCAAAATACCTAAATGAGTGAAGACCTAAAATTGTAGACACTTTGGTCTACACACTCCTTTTACTCTGACCAGATGGAAATTTTCCATTTGAACAACAGTATGAGATATGTCACAACAGAGTAATATCGATATTACAGACCAAATGTAGAAATAAAGGCATTCTAAAATGGTGCTATCCAATGTACATGCCTTGTAGAAACAGTAAAAATATTTTAGTCTCTAACCAGTGGGTAGACTTGTCTATTTTCATAAAATGTTTTTCAAAAAAGAGTCAATTACCATAATTGGTTCCGGTTTTTGTTTTTTTTTTTTTTTCCTTTTTGTCTTTTTTTACTGACCGGCAACGGGATCACAACCCTCGGTGTTGCGCCCACTCCACGCTCAGCCAGTGAGCGGGAACCGGTCTCCACATGGGATCCGAACCCTCGGCGGGAGCGCCGCTGCGCTCCCAAGCGGCGCACTCTCCAGTGCACCACCGGGCCGGCCCTTGGTTCCGTTTTTTAAAATTTAAAGTAAAAATGTTTAAATTTGCTGGAGAAAAAAAGAGTGATGTTTCTCATTTTTTAAGGAAGAGATCTAATCTGAAATGCTTATAGGAATCTTTTTTAAAGAAAGAAAACAGGGCCGGCCCGTGGCTCACTCAGGAGAGTGCGGTGCTGATAACACCAAGGCCTCGGGTTCGGATCCCATATAGGGATGGCCGGTTCGCTC